CGGAACAGCTGGTAGTTTCGAACTGCTGACATTGGGTTTAAGCAGGTCCTATTCTCCTTGTCCTGTTCTCCTTCTAGGACCTCAAGGTCATCCCAGCCAATGTATAAATTTCCTCATTTGCAGGGCCCTCACTTGAGACTCAATGACTAAACCGACTCCATTTTGTTTAGGTCAGTAGATCCATGCTTGTAATCAGAAACAGAGACGGGAGAGGAGGGAAGAACGCTTCTAGGATAGGTTGTGTTAACTAGCAGGTTGTTACTTTGGAAACTGGGACTCCATTTCATCGGAAACCTTTGAGAGACACTGAAGAACACACCCTGGAGTAATCCCTTTTAAGCAGCACAAAAGCTGGGCTGCTCATCTTCTACTTCCTGCCCAGGACAGATTCAAGAGTGGCTTTTAGGGGCATTCGTTCCCCAGACCTCTCTGATCTGCCCAGCACAAGCTTGAGCTCCAAGGTTCTTGCCAGGGAATGTTCTCAGGGATCTGAACGGGACTTCAAAATATTCATGGAAAGATTCCAGTATCATTCAATTCTATTTTTCCATGAACTTTTTGCAGTCCCCTTGTATGCCTAGAAACTGAGACTTGGGGGCAGGTGGATGCTATACACTCCCATATTCTTACAAAATCCCAAACTGTCAAAGACCTGGGGAACAGAAAACCTTGTTTTGCAGGACCATTGTTGTTGTTAGGTGCCATCAAGTCGGTACTGACCCATAGCGACCCTCTGCACAACAAAATGAAACACTGCCCAGTCCTTCGCCAACCTCACAATTGTCGCCATGCTTGAGCCCATTGATGTTGCCACTTTGCCAATCCATCTCACTGCGGGTCTTCCTCTTTTACTCTGACCCTCCACCTTACCAAACATGATATCCTTCTCCAGAGACTGGTCCCTCTTGACAATATGTCTAAAGTATGAGAGACGAAGTTTGGCCATCCTGGCCTCTAAGGAGCACTCTAGCTGCACTTCTTCCAAAACAGATCTATTGGTTCTTTTGGCAGCCCATGGTACTTTCAATATTCTCCTCCAACACCATAACTCAAATGCATCAATTCTTCTATGGTCTTCCTTATTCACTGTCCAGCTTTCACATGCATGTGAGGTTATTGAAAATACCATGGCTTGGGTCAGGCGCACCTTAGTCCTCAAGCTGACATCTTTGCTGTTCAACACTTTAAAAAGGTCTTGTGCAGCAGATTTGCCCATGGGCCAGCCTGCAAAATCATTTGGTCCCGCCCTGCCAAGGCAACCACAGTTTCAGGCATCATATTGTTATTAAGAGCCGCAAAGCCAGTTCCTACCCATAGCGACCCTGTCTAGGGTTTCTGAGAAGTGCCTGGTGAGCTTGACCCGCCAACCTTGCAAATCAACTTTGCAGTCTAGCACATTAACCCACAGAGCCACACCAGGACTCCAGCCAACACATTGGTGGTGGTGGTTATGTGCCATGGAGTCAGTTCCAACTCATAACGACCCTGTACAGGGTTTCCGAGGCTGTAAATCTTTACGGGAACAGAAAGCCTCATCTTTCTCCCACAGAACAAACAGCTGGTAGTTTTGAACTGCTGACCTAGAGGTTCACAGCCCAATTCATAACCACTACGCTACCAGAGCTCCTTAGCCATCACATTAGTGGTGAGTTAATTAAATGTTTGACCAAATAGAGCAGGCTAATTTTTAAGTTGATAATTTTGTATAGCCAGCGAATGATGTGATAAATTTTGGCAGAAAAAAAAACGTTCCCCACCCCCCGCTGTATAGGGTTTCCAAGGTTGTAAATATTTGCCGGCGCGTAAGGGTTCATCTTTCTCCTGAGGAGAAGCGGTGAGTTCAAACTGCTGGTTTGTGGCTAGCAGCCCAGTGTGTAACCCAGTACACTACCAGCGTTCCTTAGGACAAAGATAGCTCCTATCTAGAGCCTCAACAAAAAACAAAGCGTTTTGTTGTTGTGTTGTGAAGTGCCATTGAGTCGATTCCGACCCATAGAGACCCTGTAAAAGGTTTCCGAGGAGCAGCTGGTGAGCTTGGACCACCGACCTTGCAGTTCAAACGGCTTTGCAGTCTGGCGCATTAACCCACAGCACCACACCAGGACTCCCATCTCAGGGTTTAGGGTGGTGGGGGGGAGTCTCTCAAGCTGTTTTCCCAAAGAACCAAGACAAAAGGCCATGTAAAGGAACTCATTCACATTCACGCAGCTGCTACACTGAAAGCGTGGAGGTTTGTGCCCACCCAGAGGTATCTCAGAAAATCAGCCACTGAAAACCGTATGGGGAGCACAGTTCTACATGGGGTCCCCAAGAGTTTGAAGCAACTCAATGATAACTGGGATTTAGAGCATAAAGTGGAGCATGGGGAGCAACAGGAAGTGAGTGGCCAGCTTGGTAAGGGCCACGTGGATCAAGACAGAGTCTGTTAAATGCTAGGAGCCACTGAAGAGTCTGCCAGTTCTCTCAGGGGAGTGAACTATGACTAGGGGGCTCGTCTCCAGGTCTCTCCTCGAGCCTCAGGAAAAGCTAAAGATCGCTGACTTTCTAGACTAATAGAGCGCACAACAGTATGACAACTGCAAAAAAGAAATGCCTGTAACTTTACCCTCCATGAGCTTCATTGTCATATGTCCTGTCTGCAAGGACCCATTTCCCAAATCTGACATGGAGACTCACAGGGCTCCAGAACAAGGCCAGGTGGCAAATGTACCATGAAGGCGGAGTTGTTGTTGTTATGTGCCGTGGAGTCGATTCCGACCCATAACGACCCTGAACAGGGTTTCCGAGGCTGTAAATCTTTACAGGAGCAGAAAGCCTCATCTTTCTCCTGAGGAGCAGCTGGTAGTTTCGAACTGCTGACCTTGTGGTTTGCAGCCCAATTAGTAACCACTATGCTACCAGAGCTCCTCATGAAGGTGGAAAAGAGGCAGTAACAGACATGTGAGGAGACCTGAGAGCCCTCTGCACCCTACCCTTCATCAGCACAAAACTATGGAGATTTGGAACTCGCCATTCTCAAACTGAGGAGTTTGAACAGAAAGGGCGGTGGTTCAAGCTCACCAGCTACTCCTTGGAAACCCTATACAGGGTCGCTATGGGTCGGAATCGACTCGATGGTGCTTAACAACAACAACAAATTCTCAAGCTGAAAAACTATATGAAGATTACTGTGGGTCCTGGACAAGGCTTTGTGGCAACTGTGGGCAGAGTGTCTTCGTATCTGAAGACACGCCCTGAAGTCTGTGGTAGAGAAGGGTAGGAGAAGGGGACTGCAGTTGTCCTGCCGCCTAATGTTAATAATGAGCCATGGATCAAGAGGGACTGAGGATCGCCTCCAATCTCCTCAGACACACTGAGGAGGCTCTAGAACCCCCTATGAGACTGTCCTGAAAGCACACGAGATCCTTTGAATCAGACTTGTTTTGAATAGTAGGACTGCCAACCAAAGGAACATGCCAACCCAGGTTCCAATCCAGGATAATCTGTCTGAAGAACAAGAGGAATCGAAGACACCAGCCCCCTAAAGAAGGTGGTGAATGAAGAGAGTGCCAACTTGGACTTCATGTTGGCCCTAAGTCTTCAAACTGAGGGCCAGGTCCCCCACCTGACAGAACAGAATTTGTGGCGAGCCCAGAGCTCTGAGTGATATATCAAAAGTGCAGCTGATGAGACCATGTTGCCTGTGAATTTTGTGAGGAGCTGTGCCCAAAGGAATTGCTGGTTGACCACCAGACAAGCTGTAACCCTTACCTCTGTTCCTTACTTCCACTCACTAGGGGTCGCTCTTCCCCCAAAGTGGTGGAGGCACCTGATGATTTCTTACACGAGTTTCTGCAGCAGGTTAACTAACCACTTTGATGGGTCTGACCCCCGTGGAGGATAGATGCAGCATTCTGTGTGAATTCTGTAGGGTGCAGCTAAAAGAGGAGATGATGTTTCAATCCCTGGGACCTGTGTGACTAACACCCAGCCACCTCAAACAACGATGTAACAGGATTCCTGGCCTTGTGAAAGCTCACCAAAGCTGCCCAGGAGGTATGTCAGACACCAGAGAGACCCAGCTTCCAGCTTCCTGGACGACAGCAAGCAAGAAACTGCTAAAGAGCCCACCTACCCTCGGCTACCTATAACCAACTGTGTCTAGTGGTGTGGCACTGTAGAGTCAGCCCTGGACTGCGAACCACAAGATCATCAGTTCAAACCCAACAGCAGGGTTGAGGGAGGGTTAGCAGGGAGG